ACCCCCATCTCTAGAATGAGTGTCGAGCACTTCGAACTCTGGTTTTGCTATCCCTCAAGTTAAGAAAAAGAAAAAGAAAAGATGTTGTGCTCGCGACCCCGGCCAGCTAGCTTATAACAACTGGGATAGCATTCGGGGAGAGGGGGGCATCGAGAGGGGTGTGGATGGGTACTGATAGCCAGACTCGGAACAGGTTGTCGAGTGCTCGTATGAACTCGAGAGAGGAGGAGTCTAGCAGGCAGGCAGGCGGCTGTTAGTGTTTGGATTCGCTGCTGGGCTGGGGAAGGGGGGGGGGGTGTTTTGAGAGCTTTGCACTTACGAGAGGGTTTGACGAATCTTCAAATTCTTGCTGGCCGCTGAAATGGCTGATGGCTCCAGGCAGAGCCTGATAACTCATGTTGAAGGGGTTCATGGTGTCGTCCTCGCGCTTCATGATGGCTTCGTGGAAGTGCATCATGGGCGGCAGCGTGACGGGGACCGGGGCGAGGTAGTCCGCGTACTCGGAAGACGAGACGGGGCGGTATGATGGCTGCGATGGAAGAGGGTATGGTGCGTACACGAGCTCCTCGGGAGCTGGGTACGAGTGGTATGCGAAGAGAGGTGGGGTCCCGGATCCCTCGCGCTCGAAGCCGTGCGAGAACATCAGGTTGTCTTCCATCGGTGGCGTGAACTGGCACTGGGAGAACCTGGGAGACGGCTGGGGTTGCAGGATCTCGGGGCTTGTCTTGTACTGCTGCTGGCCAGCCTTGCCCACACGATGCTGCTGCTGCTGCTGCTGCGGCTGCTGTTGGAGCTCGGCGTGGATCTGCGGCGGCGAGGCCGAGGAGGATCCGGCGCGTCTCTCGAGGTCTTCGAGACGTCTCTTTAGCTTCTTGCCTGGAGGTGCGTGTCAGTGCCGGTTCCCCGGAGATATGGCTCTGGATTTACTCACGGTAGTTGCGTTGGGCAATTCGGTTCTGGATCCTCCTCCGCTCCGCCAAGTCGGAGATCTTGGTCCAGTCTTCATCTGGGTTTGCTGAGCTGCTGAAGGCACTGCTGGTGCCGTGGCCGGTGGTCTGCCTAGAGGCCGTCGCACTCGAGAATGAGTAGCTGTGTTGTCTGGACATGTTGGGTTATGCTGATAAGTGTGGTCCTGGTCTTGTTACTTGTGTGAGAGAAGAAAGTGTTCAGCTGTTGAAGTTGCTGCTGAAGTTGTTATTAAAGATGTGGTTGAAGTTGTGGTTGAAGTTGTGATTACAGTTGTGGTTGGTGGTGGTGGTGGTGGTGTTGATATTGGATGGGAACTTATGGTCTGGGATGTGATGCTTCTCTGCGTCGGGGGAGGAGACTGGCCGAGTATATTTATATGCGAATCTGCGAATGCGGGCACGACACATGCGATCGATCAACATACATACGGACTTGACCACCGACAGCCATCTCCTCCTCCTTCGAATCCTTGTACGGCACCACCAGCGCAGCTCAGCGCAGCGCAGCTCAGCTCAGCTCCAAGACGGACGGACGAACGAGGTGAAGATCAGAAAGAAAAATCCAAGACAAAGGGCAGGACCCTTGGGAGAACAGACAGCAGACCAGCACTGCAGCACAAGCCCCGGCTCCATATCCCCCCCCCCCCACTCCCCACCACTGCCTGCGGGTGCGGGTGCGGGTGCAAAGTCAGCCAGGCTGCCGGGGCCGACTTTCTGCACCTCAACTCCCTACAGTAGGTAGGTAGGTATCATACAGTACAGTAGTATCTAGCTCCGGGCACTAACACTAGATCAAGTGGCACTCCGCCACGCCATGCCGCATTCTATAATTAATTGTTCGCTAATTCGCAGCTGTTGTTATTTATTTATTTATTTATTTATTTATTTTTCCCCTTTATTCTGGTTTGGTTGGTTGGTTGGTTGGTTGGTTGGTTGCCTGCCTTCGTCCCGTAAGGTAGTAAGGTACGGAAGACGGAGTAAGGGCAGCGTCGACTCAACAGCTGGTCTGATTCCCCCACGCCCACCTCCTTCCCCCCGAAATAGAATTCATCGGCGTGAGTCCTGGGAGCTTGACCGAGTTGGCAATCCTTGATTTATTCCCTTGGCTTGCGGCTCGACGCTTGGATCGATGCTTGGGTCACCGGGTAGGGGTAGGGCAGGGGTAGGGCAGGGGTTGGGGTAGGGGTAGGGGCATGGATGTGGGTACGTACGTAGGGGTATGATGGGTATGGGTAGAAGGAAAAGTACCCTACTACCATTACGTGATCATGATCGAGCTTCATCCCGACCTATTCCCAGGTAGGAGGTATCTAGGTATCTTACTTATCCTACCCATCATTCGTGTATCATTCATGAATTAACTGGTAAACTAGTTCTTCTCTTTGGTCTCTTCTCTGGACCTCCTGTCCGGCCTACAATATCCGAACCCGATGCCATGCTACCGTAGCGAGCTAGACCATGCGGGCAGATGTATTCCTCCAGGCCGACGCTCGGAATATGGATCGAGATCTCTCTGTCTCTCTGTCTCTCTCTATCACTCTCTCTACCTATCACTCTCTCTCCCTATCACTCTCTCACTCGACCCAGCCTTGTCATGGGTTTATTTTTGGTATGAACGGCTTTGTCACCAGCCTCTGGTGGTAAAGATCCGCCAGTCACAACCCTCACCGCCGTCCAGGGCGTACAAGACCACCCCCCAGGGGACATTCCGCCAATCACCATGGCCGTGTCGTACTGGAGATACATTCCCGCCATCTTTTTCGCGGTGAAGCTTCATCTCCTCTACCGATATCTCCTTCGTCTCCTCCCCCCTCTCCCGTACCCCACCCAACCACGAGGTACTGACTGCCGAGGGCCTGAGTGCCTGAGTGCCTGAGTGCCTGAAAGGGCCCCTTCGCTGCCGTTTCACTCATTCCACTTGCACACCCACACAAGCGAACGGTCCGACTCAATCGCATACTCACTCTACCTACCCGGCGCATTTGGCACCACCACCGCTGGCATGATTATCATCATCATCCTGAGCCCATCTCCCATCTCCCATCTCCCATGATTCCCCTAAACTCAGCCCTACCCCGCCGGCCTCTGTGTTCCCTGGCCGTTTCGTCGTCCCAAGATTGTATGACCGACCGCCCAACTACGGTCAGCCCCAGGGGTCACTGATGCCTTCGACCGTCATCGGTTGAAACATCCATACACGGTACCCTACCCTAACCCTACCCTACCCTACCCATGTGCCATACAGAAGCTGCGACGGTTGCACTCGAAGTTTGCGAGCTGCCATCGGTGCCGCCTGGCGCTCCGCCGAAATCGCGATTCTGAGGCGTGGCAGCGTGGATTTGCCGGGCCATCTAAAATTCAAGGGCAACGTCTCGATTTGCTGACATGTTCACACTCATCTTGCGGTGAAGGGGTTTCGATTTCTTGGAGCGAATTAAGCGAACGCCGATCCGGAGATGGCTATCATCTTTAGTCACGATGGGATGGGATTATCTTCAGTCTCCTAAATCCGGACTCTGCTCGCCGCTCGCCTATCATACTAACTGACTCCCCATATAGTGCGTTCGTCACGCGCTACTCTACCTTCGTCTGTCATGTCCTGGAATAGAGTCACAGTATCTCATCGAATCATGTTGCCTGTCTCCTTATCCTCGGTGATATCTACCGGCCCTCGCTCAGCCCGTCTCGAATAGGTCGGTCCAGAGAGGACCGAAGGAATACGTGGAGGCAGTGAACAGCACCACGTTCTTCATCGGTACATTCATGCTGATAGATCCATTATGATTCCGTGGTTTCCTCTGAGACGGTGATTGGAGACGTCCTCGCGGCCTATCAGAGACCGGGAATGCTCACTCCTGCTTCTATTCTGGAACGAAGTGCCGTGCCATCATCACCTCCGGACATACCTAGACAGGCTCCGAAGGAGATGGCACCTTTGCTCCGCCGCTATACGCAGCCTGCAGTCAGCCACGGATTGGACCTGCATCAAGTTTCTAGCTGGGGCACCTTGAAGGATTTGATCGTTGATCCAAGTCAGGAAGATGATGGAACATCGCGGTCTTTCTTTCGCAGGAAACTCTCATGACGGATAAGTACCTGGTCCATCGATCCGACAGGAGGATATCAGATTCCTTCAAGTTCGCTTGGTATCTCTGCCTCTTGATATTATGCTTTCGTCACTTGCCACTGCAACCTACACCCGGCGTTCGGGTCAACAGCCTCTTAGCGTACATTTGAAACGCTAAATCTCCCTCCCGTGCCTCGATCGTCTGTCATCACGGATCTTTCTACGTAAGGAATCTCACCGAAGTCATGACCCACACCGGGCTCGGGCTCGGGTCGCCAAATGGATCGAGCATACACACAGCCCTGAGAGAATCACGGTTCACGGAAGTATTCTCATCATGCAAGTCCGACATACTGGTCGAGCTGCAGGTCCAAGCACATGAACTCTTGTTTATCTGCTTCCCCTTTGGAGCTTTCCAGGGGTAGATAAGGTGCTGACCCCCACCCCCCCCCCCCCCTGACGCTCCCACGGGTTGTGTTTCCAACGGCATATAGACGACCTAGGGCATAATATGCATATGAGGTAGGATTGAAAGATGCAACCTCATGAGAGGGATTTTGGGGCCGAGCTAACTCAACTTGCGCAACTCCCGAGTTAACCCCACTTTTAGTTAAGCGAGTTAATTTTCACAACGGGATTTCGCAAGGTCACTTAGTACTTAGTGAATGATCGTTATCTCTTCAAACGGTCCACCGTACTAACCTCTTGGCTGTGGCGCCGACTTGATATTTAGGATAACCCAGTGAGTTACTCGGCAGCGAAAATCGCTCCATGCACTTACCCCGTAGCCTGCGAAGGGCCGGGCCGAAGGCTAGAAATTCATCTCACATCCTCAGCCGAGTCGGCGGAATCAATAGGTAGTCAGAATTGCAGCAGATATTGGTATGTACATGAGTTCTCATCCAACGTGTCATTAACGAGCCCCCTCCCTTCCCTTCTGATTATGCCACCCTAATTCAGCCAGCCCTTCTGTCCACGATCTCCTGTAATCTTCCACGTGTCCCACCTGATCACCTCCTTCGAGAACTCCGCCAGCTCCCGCTCGGTCTCGAAGCACTCAGCATACAAATACAAGCTCTTCTCGTCACTGAGTAACTTCGCCGGGATGGCCATCTGCAGCTCCCCTTCGAGGCCCATAATCCACGCGAAGCGCAGCGCCTTCTCGGGCGGCGTGATCAGGGCCCTCGTCTGGATATACTCCTCGATGACCTTGTCGCTCTTGGCCCACAGTCTCTGGGTCCGGACACCACGCGGCGTCATCTTGTCGTAGGTCTCGGGGATGTTGACCTTGGCGATACGTCGCACCTTCCACTTCCGCGCCTGGACCGCACAGTAGCGACCCCCGGCTCGACTCATCAGGTTCTCAATTTTGTTGACTGGGCACCCTCCACGTTAGCTCTCTCCGCGTCGGAAAGGAGGTGCGAACGACGATGTCACACACGTGTCGATACGTGTCTCAAAAAATTGATAGGGGGGATCAACTCACCCAGATAAAAGCCAGGTCCTAATTGAGGAGTGTACGAGAATTCCTGTAAGCCCAACTTGTGATCCTGATTAATGCGCGCAGCCTGCTCCTGTAATCTCGCGCGTGATCAGTATAGTACACACAAGCTTTAAGTATATGATATCATATATCAATATACACCACGCAGACGGACTCGAGAGCAGGACGTACCTCGGAAACGATGGCGTAGCCGATGACTATCCTGCTGCGCCAGAACCACGCCTGTGCCCCGTTGAAGAAGAAGCTCAGGGCTAGCAAGGCCGCGAAGATGGATCTCGACTGCAGCATCGTGGTTGGTAAATTATTCGGAAGGAAATATGTGTGTATATATATATATATATATAAAAAGGAAAAAAAGAAGAGTGTGTGTGTGTGGGAAATGAATGGGCTTGCGATCGGGGTGGGGGAGGAATTAAGATATAAGAGAGAGAGAGAGAAAAGGTGTGATGCGATGCGAGCTGGCGAAAGGGAAGGAAGGCAGGCAGGCAAGCAGGCAGAGGAGAGGAGAGGAGAGGAGAGGGTGGTGAGTGAGTGAGTGAGTGAGTGGGAAGAAACCGAATAAGAAAGGTAGGTAGGTAGGTGCGAGAAGGGAAATATATACAACCCTCTTTCCCCTTTCCTGCTATATTCTATTTTATTTTATTTTATTTTATTATATATATATATATATATATATATATATATATATATATATATATATATTTTTTCCCCTGCCCATCGATACCTAGTTGAGGCTCGCATCTTGTTTTTAGTCTTATAGTTTGGATTTTGGATTGGATTGGATTGATTTGATTTGGTTTGGTTTAGTTTGATTTGGTTTAGTATGATTTAGTCTGGCTTAATTTGATCTGGTTTAGTCTGGCTTAATTTAGTTCAGATTAGTTCAGACTCATCCGGTTCAGACTCATCCGGTTCAGACGAGTTAGTTCACCGGTGCGTGTTTTCTTGCCGTCTCACGACGCACACACGCGGGATTGGACGACGGACGTTGGAGGAGCTGAATGGATGTGCTGTGCTTGAAGGGCGTGTCGACGAGGAGGGGTTCTCGATCTGGTGCGTGGTGAGGAGGAGTGCTGGAGAGAAGTGAGGGCACGAGGAAGAGGACTGGTGAGCGGAGGAGGAGGGATAGATAGGTGGAAAAGGGGGGGGGGGGGGGTGGGTGGAATATGGACAGACAGACAGACAGACAGACAGACAGACAGGATCGGGAACAGATAGGATAGGATAGTCTCTAGGGTTTAGATAGGTATGTCGTCGAGGCCATGTCGACTACCCGTTATCTTCTATCCATCCATCCGTGCAGTGAAAAACTCCATGAGAAGAAAAAAAAAAGCTCCTTGCTATTCCTTCCGCCCTGCATATCTCTTCCTTTGTATCCGGTTCTATCGGGTCGGATCGTCTCATCTCATACCCCGTCCTGCTTGATCATGTATCGCTCAACCCACCCCACCCTCCTAGCGCCCGCGGAGGTTTAGTTCGACCACTTGGGATCGACTTTCTTCCTACATACACACAAACAACACGTCAGCTTCATTCCAGTTCAGTCCATTTCAGTCCATTTCAGTCCAGTTCAGTCCAGTTCAAGCCCTAGGCGTCAACTTCCCCCCGCAGATTTTGGACAAGGGGCTCTCGGGATATCACCGATCCCCTTTCCTCTCCTCTCCTCTCCTCCCCTTTCTCCAACAAAAGAACATCAAAAGGAGAGAAACCTCCACCTCCAACGACGGCATAAAAAGAAAAAAAAAGAAGAAAAAAAAGTCCAAAACCACCCACCCAGTATTCTTCTCGTAGAGACCCCTCAAGCCATCCGTAATCTTCTCATTCGTGCCCGCACCCATCTGGTGGCCCGTCTTCTTCTCGATGAACTCGAGGGCTGTTTTCATATCTCAGTAAACAGAGCACATCTAGGTAGCGACATCTGGGTGGGGGCGGGGGGTTGAGAAAGAAATACCTTTATCCCCGTAATCCTTCTGCTGGCCTCCGGTCTGCTGCTGCTGCTGCTGCTGCTCTTGTCCACTCGACGACGACCCCTGGGACTTCTTCAGCATCTCGGAGCCTTTCTTGAGGAAATCCATCTTTTTCTTGATCTTCTTCTTATTTCTTCTTTCTTCTTTCTTTCTTTCTTTCTTTCCGACGATCTCTAGGATGCGAGATACTGCTCTGCTCTCCTCTGCCTTTGCAGTATACCTTTCCTTCTTTTCAAGCCGCGGGGGGTGCGATAGGAGGCTGATTCTGTATAACTATCTCAAGATTGAGATGGTGGGTTGGGATCAAGGCCGAGGAGAGAGAGGGAAGGGAAGAAGAAGAAGAGGGGTAATCCATTCGTATTCGCGCTTGTATACTCGTACTCGCGCGTATGCGTATGCGTACCGGTACCTACCTATGCGTGTGCGTATGCCATGTGCGGTGTACGGTGACGCAGAAGCAGAAGCATATTTTCCCCTGAAGATACGTCACTGGGCTGTCGGGCGGCAAGCACGCAGATCGGGTTTCGGACGGAGGGATCGGATTCTGCCTGTGATTGATTGATTGATTCTGGGTGCCTTGTGCCTAGGTACTCCGTGTAGCAGGAGGGAAGGCGGCCCGTGACAGACCGTCAAGTCAACAAAGGGAATTTGTGAGGGAAAGGGGGGGATGTTGACGGATATATACACTTCCCCCACCCCCACCCGCTCACGCCCCCGCAAATACCATTTACTATGTAGCTAGACAACACAACAACCTCAACACCATCCCATCCTATCCTATCCCAGATCCCTCCGTAGCCATTATCCTCAACGCCGTACTTACATGTGCAGCCCGATGCATCATGGACATTTTCCCTGGTATCATTGCCCGTATGTATCATCCCGCGTATGTATGTGCATCTGACGTTCCTTCTGTACTCTTGCCCTTTTGTGATGCCTCCTGTGAATTTGCTGTTTTTGATATGTATTAAAATATGTCTTCTTGTCGCTCCTTCCTTCCTTCTCGTATCTTTGTTTTCGCCGTCGTCGGGGCTTATCAGTCGCGTCTTCGACGGCGGGCTAGAAGTTGTTCTGGTAGACCTGATACGCCATCACCATCATCCACAGTAGAAACACACAACCCACGAGCTGGAACGCCCATTGCGCCTGCCAGCTTTGACCTATGATTCACAACATTAGTCCGGTACCGATCATCATCATCATCATCATCATCATCATCATCATCATCATCATCTCGAGAAGCGCTGTGTTACGATGTCCTGTCCCACGTACAAAAGGAAAACAAAGTAGGAGATTGGAGGTCTTACAAACGCTGTGCTGCTGCAGGTAAGCCAGCGTGTTGACGTTGGGGCCGGTGGACTCCTGCTCGTCGACGTAGAGGTTGCAGCTCCCGCTCACGCCGTTGGGACCCCAGAGCTGGATCGAGATGACAATCAAGCCAACCATCCACAGCACGAAGAGAACGAATGAGCCCATGATCACGATGCCCGGGAGGAGCTGCCGGTTGGAGATGAGGTAGAGCATGACGAGAACAAAGACAAGGGCGAGAGACGCGGAGGTGATCCAGTAGGGGAAGTACCTGCGAGTGCGGTTAGCCATCCCGTTCAAGATCCAGGTTCAGCTCCAATGCCAGTTCCAGTTCCAGTTCCCGAGTACATGAAGATATATAAAGATATACACGTATAGATATACATATAAGCTGCCCTGACTCATTCGCCCGTCATCCCCTCCCAAAATCCGATATTTCAATGCTCAACACCAATATCTCACGAAGGATCGGGAACAGAACGTACCAAGGTATCCCCAAGCGCAACTGATCCTGCACGCTGACAAAGTACGCATTGATGCCCAGCACGGTACAGCTGCCCACCAGCATAACGAACAGCCAGAAGTTCAGCTGCAGCGGCGGCCAGCGGTACTTGGTCCGGACGCGTACAATCACATCTGACATGGTGCCTGTACTCGTCGATGCCATTCCTTCTCTCCGGTCGTAGGGGAAGACGGCTTGGTTTGTCAGGCTTGTATAGCTTGTGTAGCTGGTATAGCAGCTTGCTTGCCTGCCTGCTAGCTAGAGTCTCGGGGGTAGCGTGTCCGGGAAGAGACTCGGAAGGCCGGCCGCCGGTTGGAGGTGTCGTATCGATGCGTCTGTGCTGCTCTGCCTAGCTTGGAGGACTCTCCCTGTCGTTCTTGTCTTGGGGATTCGGGTGTGCGCGCGCGCGCGAGATACGTGAGGTAGGCAAGGCAGGAATTGAAGGATGTAAGCGACGGGTTGCAAGAAGTGCGAAGGACCCGTTGCGTGGCGGGCTCTCGAGGTTGGGTTCGGTTGAGTAGTGTGGTCCTCGCAGTCTTTGTCTCTCCTCCCAGCCTCCCCTTCTGGCTTTTTATATATTATATCCCTTTCCCTCCCCCTCTCCAAACCCTCTCTGCTGGCACACGTACGGATCTAGACCCTCCCACGCCTTTCCCTCTCCCCTTTTCCCTCCTTCCTTCGATGCCAACCTTCCACGTCCCCCGTTGGGCGCAGGCGGTCGGGCTGCTGGCTGACGGCTGGCTGGCTGTTGGCTATGCCTACACGTGTTGACGCTGTCGCGATTGGGCTGCCTGAGTGGGGGAATAAGAAGTGATCCGCCCGCCGGCCCGCCCGTTCGTTCGTTCGTTCGTTGGTTCGTTCGTTCGTTCGGGGTGTAAATAACTGGGTCGTGGTAAATCTCGTATTTTGGTTTGATCGTGACGGTGAGACGAGTCGAGCGAAAAGAGAAGGTCTGGGACAAGCCGGCGAAAACACGTGAGTCGTTGTTAAAGTCGTTGTTAAAGCTTGGGGAAACTTGGATTTGCTTGGAATTCCGATATCCGGCTGAGATAGCGACGTCAGAAGGTGATCCGTACAGAGTATACGAAGTACGGCAGAGGAATAGGGGGTTGAGGGGGCTGGGATGAAAGAAAGGTGGCTGGGGTCAGGTAGCAACAACAACGGATTATGTATATCTACTATTCTATTGCATATTTTGTCGGGTGGCTTGACCAGAGCTCTCGAGTTGGATTGAATATAACTTGAGGAGCGCGGCCTGCAGTTCGGTACCTATAAGTTCACAAACAGCGCCATGTATCGCTTATACTTATATAATAGTTGCATGAAAGCAGTATCGAGTGCTAGTCAGACATACAAGAGTGGTCTTACAGTACACTTTATAATCAAGTCTTAACAGCCGATCATTGATTGCAAGCTGGGTCATAAATGTTGGATTTCTGAGCGGACTACCTATCTGACCCAGCCAGCTGTACCAATAATACCATCGAGTCTTCGCCGTCAATACTGGATGCCAAATTGCATGTCCACATGCAACTACCTAGTTTTGCTTAAACTATCCGGTAGAGTTTGGATGACCTATAAATAGATGTTAGTTAGCATCGACGCGGCAGCTCGAGGAGAAACGTAGCAACAGCTTGTCTGTCCACGCCCCCCTGTGGTTCGGAACCTTATCTCCTCGAGAAGAGAGTGGGCGAAACTTACGATTTACATACGAGAGAAGAAATCGCATTACCGGTATTGGCGTATTGAATATCGCTGTTTCCAAGCTCGCGTTGTCCACCTTGCCCAGCGAACGCCCCGCTTCCTCTTGGGCATCCCGAAAGACTCTCTTGGTTGAGCTCTTTCATCTCGAATGAAGGATGTGCTTAATGCTCACACGTAGACGGTGCATTCAGCGTTATAAGTATCGACGGAGGTAGTTTGGTCGTCTATGTTAGTAGGGAAACTAGGGACGTCGTCCTAACGAGTAGCTTTACTTTTGGAAGCTTCGAGGCTTGAGGTGTAAGAAGGCTTAGAGGAGATATCTTGCCGTATGAGTCGGGGGAGTCCGGGAATTCAAGGCAATCATAAGAGTCGGCCTCGCGGCAGAGCTTTACATACTTTTCATCTTTAACATCTCGTCTAGTACTAAGTTCGGCAGGTGCTGCTACCACGGCGGAAGCTGCAAGAGCAGCGGTAACGAAGATGGTGTTGATGAACATTTTGTTGACACTGAGGTAGAAAAGAGATGGATGGTGAATGTAAACGATGCCCTACGCGGCTGTGTCTTACGTATATGGGCAGTCCGATTCGATGCGCGAGTATTCTTCTTCATGGGAATCTTTTGGGGCTCACTCAAAGCATCGCCGATGCTCTGTATCGATTGCGCAGCCGTTACAAGTCTTTGAGATTGTGGATGGACCAAATCTGTATCGACCAGGATGACCTGGAGGAGAGAGCCAAGAAAGTGAAGCTGATGGCGAGCATATACCAGAAAGCAACCTCCGTCCTGGCTGGGCTGGGAAGGGACGATCAGAACCACGCAAAGCTAGCTTTCGAGAAAAGTTTAGGAGCTTGAAGAGGATATTGAGAGATAAGTGGCAGCAAGCAAAGTTCCCCGAGGATCAACAAGAACGTATGGATAGCTTTGAAGACCAAGAATGGGAGGCTTTGGCATCTCTTTACAGCCTGCCTGGGGGGTCTCACTCTGCATCTTCGGATGTGGATTCCAATCCACAGATACGGATCGGCCTGGAATCACCAACAGCACGTATCCGCCATCAGAGATCCTTTCGCGATAAGCTGGGGCTCGGAGGCTGTTACCACTAGCATTCTGTTTCATCTCGCTTAATCGACCTCGACCCCTTTTCCCGATACTGACTCGAAAGCGAGAGCAAGTGGATCTTCTTCGGCAGATCATAAGATCATACGATATCGGTTGACGCACAGTACACAGTTGCAATACCTATCGACCTTGGTGCCCGCTGCGGCGAGGTTCCCTCTGTTGTCCCATCGCGCCAGCAGGGCTGAACCACCTTGTACACCACGCTCCTCCCCCGGATCATCCGTCTTGCCCAAATCATTCTCACACATACCTTACACCACGCACAGCTTCCCCCGCGCTGTATAGGACGAGCCGGGCTGCGTTATCTATCCGTAGGTGATATCAAAAGTAAACGGGGCTGTGGGCTCTTACAGAAATCGCACAATTCCCCCCCTCACGAAATGTCAATAGAGAACCATCCGTGCGGGGTAGCAGGAGGCTACATTCGTTACACGCATTGCTCCTCTCACGAGGCGTTCAAGTAAGGGAGTGTATGAAAATGACTGGTTGGTTCTACGGAGATGCATCGTGCGTTTCAAGAGGTGGTGTTATACGGGAAGTAGTCTGTTTCTCTCTCATACGATCGCACAAGAATCTACGAAACGAATAGGCTGTCTACTCGTGGAGTGGCAGAAGCCGCTTTGCTGGCATATGGAGAGTGACATAAAGCCATCAACCACGAAGTCATCAGCTGAGACTCGTGACGCGTGCGGGGTAAGAAGGTTGCCTGCGTGCCTGCCTACCTGCAGCATTTCCTCCGCCTATAAGCGAGTATGTTTATATACTGCGATTGGCATCCGATGCATATTTCTGTCTTTGTGTTTTGGTGCTGCGTTGGGTGTCACAACTACCTCTTTTTTCAGTTCGACTGCATGAATTTTTCTGGCTGATACAATGCTCGCTGCTTTGCTTCAGCTACTACCACTCGATGTATTGTTTCGCGAGATCTGATTGGGGCCAAGGATGCAGAGTGCCACCACCATCGGTGTGGTTTCTCAGCTGGAGTAGGGCAGTGATGTGTTATTGTGGTTGGCATGTGAGACCATACGATACAATTTCCTCACAAAGATAAAAAGATGTCGTTCGATCCTTCCTACCTTCCTTTCTTCCTAGAGCGAAAGCATTTGCACTCGGCTGGAAACGAATCGAAAAATCAATACTCAAGAGTCAGAGAAATCAAGAGAGAGCAGTCACAGTCACCATGAGCAAGATACAAGAGCGCCTTAATCACTTCTACGACATTGACAATCTCGTCACGGTGGAGATAACCATGCCACCCAAGGAGTGGGAATCACTGATGGCCTGCGAGCCCCGTGGTGGCATTTGCAACTTTGACGTGTGTACAAATCCTCACTCACCTTGTTCTCCCTAACTAGCTGTGATCTGCACTCGGCTCCCAGGACATTTCTGCGCGCCGAGATCGCAAGAAAAAAAAAACTGTCATCTCGCAAATGATACGTATAGAAAGCAAAAGCCGAACTAATTGTGACACAAACAGTACGTCGGTGGCCCTCGCTTCGACTGGTACAAGGCCACCAAGGTGACCTTCTCCGGCAGCCGGACGCCCTACCTGAAGGCAACGTTCAAGGACGTCGGCATCATCAAGAAGTCCTACTGTGGATCCTTCAGCACGACCAAGCCGTCCGTCCGGCTCGACTTTGACCGCAACCTGGCCGCTCAGGGGGACGCGGTCGAGAAGCTCATCGGGACCAAGAGCTTGACCCTGAACAACTGCAAGCAGGACCCAGCCTACATCCGGCAGCCGCTGGGCTACGAGCTCTTGCGCCTGGCGGGCGTGCCCGCTCCCCGCTGCAACTTTGCGAAGCTCATCGTCAATGGCACTGACATGGGGGCGTTTGTCAACCTCGAGCAGTACAAAAAGCAGTTCTTGAAGAACAATTTCGAGGGCAACGATGATGGCAATCTTTACGAGTAGGTCGATCGTCTGAAAACCCCATTACTCGCGTTTTCTTGAATGGTTTCATGAGCAGATTTGCTTCTGAAGCTGCCTCCAAGACACAGACAGCAATTGCTAACCTCCCGATCAACAGGCTGGATGCCGGCGACGACCTCGATAGAGAAAAGATCTCGATGGGCAAGATCAGCTTCGAGGGCGGCGTTGCCGACGACCAGAAAGACCGTACGTAATTGGGCAGCCTCTTTTGCTCCATGGCATTATATCTTGATCCCACCACCGAAAATCTCTTGATCTGACAGGCAGGTACTGACTCCCCGGTGTCGCACAGTTCTCCTCGCTGCGGATGCCATCAAAAAGGGGGGCCTAGCAGCCGCCAAAAAGGTAATTGACTACAACGCTTTTATCAAGCTGTACGCCATGGAGACCATCCTCAAGCACCGCGACGGCTTTACCATCAACACGAACAACACCTATCTCTACAACGATGTCAAGGCCGTCGCGGAGCCCACCACCGACGACGTCAACCTCAAATTCATCCCCTGCGGCATCGACCAGATCCTGCGCGACAAGAAGGACTTCGAGATAGGCGGCACGGCCATCCTGGCCCGCCTGATCCGCGACGACCCAGACGGGATCGACGACCTGCTCGAGGTCATGCGCCGCTTCGCCACCATAATGTTCAGCCGGTCCCACTACGAAAGCACGCTGGGGCCGTACGTCAACCGCCTGGCAGCTGTGGCCGCGAGCGCCGGCGCCCAGCTCGCAGACGAGATCAACAGCATCCACGTGCAGCTGCGGTTGGTGCGCTCGGGCGCCTACCAGCACCTGGGCGAGTACCCGGCCGAGGAGCTGGTGTTTGTGGCCCGGAACAGCAGCGAGGGCGACGGGTCCATCCCCGCGAGCAGCGAGGAGTACGTGCCAGAGCCGACAACGAGTACCTTCGGCGAGGATTGGTTCAAGACGGGCTACTTCACGCTGAAGAGCAAGACCTCGGGGTGCTATGTGTCGACGGTGGGAGCGACGGGGACGAAGGAGGTCTCGGACAAGGCGCAGGCCGGGCATTTCTACCTGTATTGAGGATTCGAGTTGGGGCTAGCTGGGAGGATGGGGTGCGGGGGTGCAGGAGTTGGCTTGACCTGCGCCCTGGACCTTTTTTGCTGGGTTGGGAGCTGGGGGTTGGAAAGGGCTGGTTGGATCTGAAATGGTGGCTGTGAAGTAACGAGGGAATGAATTTCCAAGTCGAGAAAATCAAAAAAAGAAGTTTCTTCCGATCGCTATTCAGTCAAGGGTACAGAGATTCCCTGTGCAAACGTCTCCATCTCGATGAGGTGAGATCACTTGTACAGTATGTAGCTTAGGTCGGGCGGGCTGGCGGCAGGCCCATGGTATTGCGTTGTTGTATTGTGTTGTGTCGTTGTATTGCTCAGTCGCTTAATATAAATTCCTTGACTGAGGGTGTAATCAAGCAAGGACGGGTCACCGGATGGGTACCTAGAATTTCCTTAGTATATTATCGCAGCTCGTCGCCCAAAGAAACTCAGAAGAGCGGCAAGGCGAAAACATGACTCAGATAAACCGAATGCGATAGTGATGATAAGTGGGGATGAAAAGTTTGAGTATTGCCTTTGCTGATGAATCACGCTATTGGAGTGAGCATTATGATTGTTTAGGGGGGGGACAGGTTAAGGGGTTTGAAGTGAAGTGAAGAAGTGAAGAAGTGAAGAAGTGAAGAAGTGAAGAAGTGAAGAAGTGAAGAAGTGAAGAAGTGAAGAAGTGAAGAAGAAGAAAACCCAGTGTTTGAAAGCTGCTATGCAAGTCGAGAGTACGTATGGATGGGCGCCCGAGGAGGGGCATAGTTTCTTTATCGTGCCAGATGCCACTGTGCCACGAGTGAAGGAGATATGGTAAATCATGTCGGTATTATGATCCAAGTCAAGCAACCGTAATGGAGTAGAATACGAAGGTATAACCAGGGCTGCGGTATTGGCGGAACCATAATCCCCTTTGGAAAGTTGCTACCGAGGCTAAAGATTGTATCTTTTGTAAGGAAAGCCACTGGCCTGAAAAATAAATGTGAGGTTATCAATGCGCTTGAGGAATATGTAGCTGACCGTTCGACTTCTTGGATGGCGTCAAGCCATGCATGCTGAGTCGCAGCAGAATTTTATCGAATAATTGTAGTCGATTTGAAAGGAGGATTTATTGTTATAACATGTGGGTTTGCTAGATTATAATGATAAATTCGTGAATGAAATAGGCCGTATCTGTAGTGATGGGTGTGTAAAGAAAAGAAGTTGCAGACGATACGGAGAAATTAAACGAGATGAAGTAATACCGACACGTGACATCCTCATATCAAAATAACAGAATCAAAAAGATATACCAACTATTAGTTCGACTCGGACCTCCCTACTAAACATCCACCGAGATAAGAATAAAAGCTGCCTGTTAAAGTGGTCACTCACACGGTGAAATATCAACAAACACACGTGTGTGTGACAGCCGCCTACCCACAAGCGCCGTATTTACGCATTACCGCGCTTGCGACAACGACGACGTCTCATATCCCCTAGTTCAAGCCGCCTCAAACCAAATCGAAGTAACGCAACGCAAAGCAAAGCCACATCACTTCAGATCACATCACATCCACACGCAAGCAACACAAACACAACCACACACAGAAATACCCTTTCCCCATCCACCTCCACCACCTCACCTCACCTCTCGTCTCATCTCGATTACCAACCATGGCTCGCGGCCTCCAGAAGGTGCGTAGGATGAGAATCCTCATCTCCCGCGCCGTCAGCCATACGTACATACATACATACATACAGAGAGACACAACTAACCCTTTCCCTCCCCCAACTCAGATCGAATCCCAGCAAGCAGCAGCAGCCAGAGCCAAGAAAGGCGGGAATTCAATCCTCAAGAAGGATAAGGGGATGAAGTACCAATGCGTATGTCACCCTTTTCCCCCTCCCCTCTCTCTTCCCCTCCCCCATCCATATCCTCTCCTATAACTTCCCCGAACCCCTCCATCATCTCAGCACCCAAAGAATGGTGAAAATTTTCCAAAACCTCAGAGCAAAAACACAAGAAAAAGCTGACGTACGATGGCTGGCGACGATGACAAAAAGTCCACCTGCAAAGCCGAGATTGATAATATCAACAACATGAAGATCCATTGGAGCGTACGTATACATTACATATACACACACACACATATATATACACGATAACCCTAAACCCTTTCCATATCAGGGATGTGTTCATCCCATCCCATCACATCCATATCCATCCAGTTCACAACGCACCTGAAACCCACTCGGCCTGAAATAAAAGAAGAAGAAGAAGAAGAAGAGGGGAGATGATGGATTGATCTAATCTGATTCGACTAATGGTACCGCTCATTCTAGTCCAAACATCCCAAGCTGGATACCCCGACTGACGCCTTCGCGAGCATGGCCAAGGCCGCACCCGCACCGGCAGAAGCGAGCAAGAAGTGAAGTTGGAGTTGAAGTGAAGTGAAGTGAGAAGGGATGGAGAGAGGGAGGGCCGTGGGAAGGACGGAGGGGGGGAAGGGGAAGTGGGGGGTAGGGGGGAACTTTCCTCTTCAAGAAAATTGTCCAAAAAAAAAAGAAAAAAAAAAGGGGTGGATAAAGAATGAAGAATGGAGAATGAATAGACGAACGGATGGCGAATGATTCAGAATGAGCGCATGAATGAATGAATGCATAGGCAAAGAGAGACAATAGTCAGATGGCTAGATGGAAAAACCCCTCCCTCACGTGGCACAATCCTTTCTCAATTTCACAACCGAGTCCAGTCGAGCCGAGCCCAGCCGAGCCCAGCCGAGCCGAGCTGCATGTGTATGTATACTTATACGTAGATAGATAGATAAATGGTTATCTAGTTATAAATAAAATGTACTACTACTACTACTACCACTACTACTACAACGTACGTGCAGGAGCCTGGGTGGTGAAGATACCGGTACACGATTCCAACGTCAACTTCCCCTTCCACTTCCATTCTACTTCCACTTCCACTTCCACTTCCACTTCCACTTCCACTTCCACTTCCACCTACTCAAACCCAAAACTCAAACCCCAAACCCAATTCAAAACCCAATTCAAAACCCAAAATTCAAAAAAAAATAAACTCTCAAAATCAGCCAGCAAGTTAGCAACCATCAAAAAAAATAAGAATCGTCTCAATAAAAGGTAGGTATAAGTAAGTACCTATCTATCTACCTATCTATTTACCGTATCTACAGAAGTAAGAAAAGCTCGAGAACACGCCTTCTTAGTACGATACTTGTATATGAATCATATATACAAATACGAGAATACAAAGATATAATACGATACAATATAGTATAGCACAGCTTATATTTAAAGAAAAAAAAAAAAANAAAAAAATTTTAAAATCAGTAATTATCAAAAAAAAAG